GTGAAGTAGAATTAGAAAGGATTGAAGCTAAAGAAACCTGAATAAATATTTAAGCATATCAGGGCATATTGCAGAGGTATCTGTGATTTGAATATGTGGGGGTTATTGTGTTTGATCAAAGAATTGGATTCATTATATCAGTACCTTTTTCAACTGTAACTTAACTACCTGGGACCTGGAAGGTCTACATTTGAATCTAACATTTCTCCCTGGCCTTTTTTTCTTCTTCTTTTTTTTTTTTTTAAGTAAGAAATATGACACCTCTGAGGGATGGACTTACGAGATACACACTTTTTGAAGAGTGGAAATCCTTCTGCATAAGTATAGCCCCTGGACAGGGCAAAGGATACCTCTATGAGAGCATGATTTTTTTCTAATTCATGTTGTATTTCTACATTTTTACACTGCCATCCCTAATGTATATTGTGAAACTCTGCTTGATGTGTTGTTATCTTATCAGTGCCCTACTATAGCATATGGTATGTTGAGATAGCAGGTCAATGACATGGAAAGTGTTTAAATAATGTGTAACTTAACACTTTCTCTGTCATGAACCTGTTATTCCAACACTTTCAGCTGATCTCATGCTGAATATGCTATGGATGTCCCCAGGCTTAGCTCCTTTTCTTGTTCTGTTCCAAATCTTTCAAATTTCACATATGTACGTCTCTGACTGTCTTAATATTTTATGTACACTGTTTTTCTACCAAATGAGTCTGCCGTTCATCGTATTTGTTTAAGGTACTGTATAACATTACATCCATCTGCTTTTACAAGTACGCATCCCTTGCAGGAATTGAAGTGAACAACCTGGGAGCTTGCCTTGTTATAATAAGTTATTTCCTTGTTATAATAAGTTGAATTTAATTCTGGACTTTTTTTTTCTAATGGGGATAGATCATGTTAAATAATTTGCAAAAGATTTAAAGTTGCTGTGGGGATTTTTTGGGGGATGGAGAATGTTTGTCCTCTTACAGCAAAAGCAACAATACATCAGTAAAGACTACATTGCAATGCATAAAAGCAAGAGAGAATGTTCTAGTCGCACTGTCTTTAAATTCCTGACTTTCGAATCCAATATAAATGTTCTGTAATGCATATGCCAGGTTTTTGTTGCTGTTTAGTTCTTTTACTGCTGATACTTATTTTTTGATTTTAGACACTAGCATGGCAGGGTGGTGGTAAATAGTGTACACCTGGTCAACATTTATCAATAACCGAGTTGAAAGAGAAGCAAATGCTATCACAAACTGATTAAAAAGGTCACTGTGCAACTGCAAGTGTGAAATGTAGATCAGCAGGAGACAGTCTAGATTTTCTACCAATAGAGGAGGGAGGATACTGATAATGGATTTTTCTATAGTTTGGCCATGATTTAACAATGTATGCAAGAGAAATATCTGTATCAATTAGCCTTCATTTTCTAATTCATCTCCGTGTTATTCTGAAAATCTTTCTCTTTGAAAGTACTTGTTAAAATATAAGAAGGAGCTTTGTTGAGACTGTTTCACCATTCTGATCTGTACAGGTATGTTTTAGTTTTCCAGAGAAGTATTTTTTGCTAGCAAACTGCATATGGGGATCAAATATGATTTTAGTAACTTAGGGCTCTGTCCCAGTTCTTCAATGCTCAGGCATCGTTGCTTGGGCTTAATGCAATGCAAAGACAAGTTGCTTTACTTCAAGCCATTGGAGTCCCAGTGTCCCCTTGAGAGGAGCCTTAAAGAGGAATTTGGTTTGCAATTGGTTAGTCCAAGGCATAAAATACTAATATTACAAGATCACCAACAGCTTTTCCCTCTTTAGGAGGAATTAAAGTTCTTGCTATTATCTGACACTCTCCTAATTCTCGGAGGACTTGAGGGGGAAAGAAAGGTGACAAGAGTCAGGCTTATTTTCCTCAAGTAGTTTCCTCATTCAGCCCTATTT